CTGGAGAGATGGCTCAGGGGTTAAGAACACTGGCTGTTCTTGTAGAAGACCTGGATTCGGATCCCAGCACCCACATGGCAACAAACAACTGTCTGTAACTCCAGTTTCAGGGGATCTGACAGTCTCTTCTGTCCTCGGTGGGCATTGCACAACACAGGTGCACTTACCTACATGCAGGCAATACATGCATAACATAAAATAAAAAAAATAAAATATTTTTAAAAAGACAACAATTATAGATAATTGTAGACAATATCTATTAACATGGCTTCAAAATACTTGAAGCATAAACAGAAAATACTAATGGGAAAGAGAAGAAAAGCCACATCAACTTATACCAAAAAAATTAAAGGCTATAAAGAACTGGATTAATACCATCAACAACCTTGACCCAAGACTCAGAAGACATCCCTACACACAGAGAATGTTTATGTGTATTTCTCTCTCTCTCTCTCTCTCTCTCTCTCTCTCTCTCTCTCTCTCTGTCTCTGTCTCTGTCTCTGTCTCTGTCTCTCCTAAGTCTCAAAACACTGAAATCTTAAAGAATGTGTTTTGGAGCTGGGAGATAGCTTGGTAGTTAGGAGCACTGGCTGCTCTTGCAGAGGACCTGGGTTTGGGTCCCAGCACCCACATGGTGGCTAACAACCACCCGTAACTCCAGCTTCAGGGGATCCAAAGCCCTCTTTCGACCTCCATGGGCATTGCACACATGTAGGCACTTATGTGCACACAGGCAAAGCACGCATACACATGAAACAATAGTAATAAAGAATGTCTGTTTTGACTGTAAAAGAATTAAATTTAAATAAGGATAACAGAGTATCTTTTTTTTAATCTTCCAGTAGATAGAAATAAAAACAGTATACGTCTATAAACCAGTAGGTTAAAGAATTCACAAGGAAAACGTAAACTGAATGAAAATCAGGATGAAACAGATCAGAATATGTGGCTCACAGGGAGACCAGGCTTAGAGGAAAACTGATGCCCAAAATGCGCTGCAAAAGAAGGGAGGGTTAACACCGACCTTGAGGGGAGAAAGACTTGGAAAAAGGGGGAGAAAAATCAACAAAACAAACATTAGTTAGCAGCAAAGATGAACAAGTTGCAATTCTCTTAGAAAACTTGATTAGGAAGAAAAAGAAGAAAATTACTAATTTAAAATATTTGGGCTGAGCCAGGTGTGGTGACGCACGCCTTTAATCCCAGCACTCAGGCAGAGGCAGGAGGATCTCTGTGAGTTCAAGGCCAGCCTGGTCTATACCATGAGCTCCAGGCCAGTTGGGGCTACAGGGAGACCCTGTCTCAAACAAACAAACAAACAAACAGAAGAACTGGGCTAAAACAGGGACTTCCACTTCAGGTGCTCTGGACTCTGAAAGAACACAACTAACAACTTTCTGCTAGAAAAATTCAATAACTTTGATTACTTGGACAGAATCCATAGAAAACAAACTCCCCAAACTGACACAAAATGGAACAGAGAAAATGGATAACCCTGATACAGAAGGAAAAAATTAAGTTTCCTACAAACACAACTCCAGCTAAAACAGTTTCAATAACAAGCTCAGTCAACAATTAATGGTAGAAAGACACACCTTACACTTTGCTCTTTTCATCCACATGGGAGTGCATGAACATACATGTCACTGCGTGTATGAGTCAGAGGACAACTCCAAGTGTAAGCCCTTGCCTTCCTCCTTTGGGTCTTGCTCCGGAGCTGGCCAGTGGCTTCTGCTCTTTCCACTTTCATCTCATCAGAAGCACTGGGATCACATGTGCTACTCTGCCTGGCTTTACAGGGGGCCCTGGGGATCTGAACACAGGTACTCATGCTTGTGAAGCAAGTGTGTCATCTGCTGAGCCACCTCCCCAATCCCGAATATCTTATACTTTGCTCTTTCAGTATGCAGAGAGGGGAACGCCTTGTAACTTATGGAATTAATATGCTACACACTCTGAAATGGAGACCTGACAAGAGAAAACAATTACAGACGTAATGTCCCCCAGACACAACTCAGCACTATTACAGAAAGAACTACATTTTGACTCTCAGAGATGCATGGTTGATTTAAAAAAATCCTAACTTATCATATTAGCATGAAAAATGGAAAAGTATGACTGACGACCAGCTCAGCTCTCAGCTGCAACAGAACCCTACTGTACCATGGGGATGGTCTCCACTACAAAGATGAGAGCACTTCCTCTAGAAATCCTACAGCTAGCTCCTCATCTTAAAGACTGCATCAGGTGTGGTGGTACACACCTTTAGTCCCAGCATACAGGGAGGTGGATCTCTGTGAGTTCAAGGCTAGCCTGGTCTACATAGTAAGTTCCAGGATGGCTGGGGCTACAGGGAGACCCTGTCTCAAAAGCCCAAAAAGAAAAAGAAAAAAAAAAAAAAAAAAAAACTGATTGCTTCAAACCCAAGACCAGAAAAGGATGGCCTTTGTAATCCCCATGTTAGGTAAAAAAAAAAAAAAAAAAAAAAAAAAAAAAAAAGACTGATTGCTTCACACCCAAGATCAGTAAAGGATGGCCTCTGTAATGCCCATGTTCAGCTGCTGTGTTTCTTCCCCACTGTGTTAAGGCACATCAAAGAAATAAAATATACTCTAAACTACAAAGAAGCAAAATCATCTTGTTAAAACTAATGAAAAATGTTAACAGCTTCATTAGCATATCATTCACATACTCATAAAATTTATCCTCAAAAGTGCTCATCAATGATTTGGTGAGTTAGGATTTTGTGAGCTGCCAAAGATTTGAGCAAGGGGCTGGAGAGCTGGCTCAGCAGTTAAGAACACTGACTGCTCCTGCAGAGGACGCGGGTTCAGTTCCCAGCACCCACTTGGTGAGTAACAATTCATTAACCCTAGATCCAGGGGATCTGATGCCCTCTTCTGGCCTCTGAGGACACTGCATGCATAGTTGCACTTACATACATGCAGGCAAAACATTCATGCACATAAGATAAAAATAAGTAAATCCAAAATAAATTGGAAAATTTTTTTTATTAAGATTTAAACAAGAATCTTCACGGCAGCTTCATTTGTAAAAGCCAAAGCCCAAAGCACCCAGGTGTCTGACAGGAAGGAGAAATGGTGCATTACCTAATCCACAAGGGCTGGGGAGACGGCTCAGTGCAGAAAGCACTCTCGATGCACACATGAGAGCTACACTTCAGATCCCCACCCTGTGTAAATGTCAGGTGGGAGTGATGGCAGACTGGTAGAGCTGGGATCCTAGAGGCCTGCTGGACTAGGATCCCACACACCACACACACAAAATGAAATGAGAAATTCCTTAACGCTAGCTATGATACGCTGAACGACACAGGTGAGTCTCAAGTAATGTTGGACGAAAGAAGTCAAGGCCAAAGGGAGACACCTCACTGCATGGCTTCTATGGGCAGGAAATAATCTCTAGCGACAGAGGTAGGAACCCTGCGTGGCTTTTAAGGAGCGACTGACTAGCAGAAGATGATGGGTATATACACCTGTCAAAACTCATTAACCTAGGCATTTACAATGTAGGCATTTCACAGTACTCAAATTACTTCTCAATGCCAAAACTATTTTTAAAAACATGATAGCAATTTCATGGGAGAGTTGGAAGATAGCTGAGGACCTGGTAGGTGCCCCACCCCCACCACCGTCCCCAACAAGCAGAAAGACGAGCAGGTGGGCTGGGATACCTGTTCACTCTCCTAGGGCATTTCTCCGGCTTGATGTCCAGTTCGTAGTGATAGATGTCAATTTTGGGGATGTCCATTTCAAAGAAATTGGCCTGTAGCTTGATTGTTCTCCCGGAGGTCCCAAAGTCGGGCCGTGGAGGAGGCTTGAAGGCATATCCTTGGAGGGGTGCCGGTGATGAAGAAGGAGGAGCATGAACTGGAAAAGACCGGAGAAGCTAGTTACCAGGGATGAAGACTCACACACAGGCTTATTCCTCACATCCGGGTACGTGGCCCAACCTTCACCTGCCCCTTGGGTCCTTAGACCCACACTTCCCATCCTGTCTACCTTTTCTGCTCACACATTTCCACAGCCTCATCCCACCCCTGTGCACCCCACCTCATCACAGGGATCCCTACCTGCCAGACTAAAAGATCCTGCAGTGTCTGCCTCTGACTGTTTGCTGGGCTGTGACACTGTGCTACACCCTTCTTTCCCAAACCATTCCCCACTCTGGGGCCCTGTCCTTGCTCTGCCCAGGTCTTTGGGAGGGGCTTCCTCTGCATAGCCTTCCCCTTCTCACCTAAGGCTCTCAGACTCCATACTGTGTTCACAGCTAGACGTCTTTCCCTGGGCTCCCATTTCATCAGTGTGGAGGGGCTTGGCCCCCTCAGGAAACTGCACAGTGTGCCTTACTCCACCACCTCCCTGCACTGACCCAGCTGGAGAACCCATCTGATCACGCACGGACCAGCACAGAAGCCTCTGACACGTGGTCTGAGTGTCAGATCACGGCTCCTCAGCACCCAGCCTGGCACCAAGGCCTGCACCCAGTACTCAGGAACTCAGTCTTTCATGCTATACTCTAAGGACTCCTACACTTTAGAACTTGCACATTACAACCCTGCCCAGCTAGCCCTAGCCAGTGTCCCCTTCCAGGCCCAGGTGAGGAGCTGCCAGCCAGCGGGACCACTATACTCCCCTTCATCACCACCTCCCTTTATGCCCATCCCAGTGTCAGTCTGCCACGCTTGCTGTCATCTTGTCTGTCTGCCCAAGATCCGAGAGGGTGCAGAAGCATCCCAGAAACGTCCAATGGACCCCCCCACCACTACTTAAGGAAGCTGAAGCCCAGAAAGTCCATTTTTCCTGACCCCCCCAGTGATGTATAACACGTGCACATGTGTGATCACATGTGCACACACCTGGTCCCTGCAACACTCACTGTATGTGCACCATCGTGTGGCTTCCACAGGCTGCGTGGCCTCACATGGGCTCTCAAGAGCCTCATTCTGCAATGGGCCAAGACACATTTCCAGGGGTAGCATTTGGATGCTAACCCAACCACTAGCTAAGGGCAAGCTGGGGTGACCTCTGGGTTAGCAAATCTGTGCTGCCCATGTCAATACAGACCTGAAGTGATGGAGCATCACAAATCACCAGTAAGGAGACAAGGCACACAGGGTGGAGTGAGGCTCATCTGTGATGTGTCAAATGTGCCTAGGTGGTCCTCCCTGCTGCATTTAAATCCTTTTGTTTCGGTTTGATTTTTTGAGATAAGGTCTTGCTATGCAGTCATGGCTGACCTGAACTGTGTAGAACAGGCTAGCCTCAAACTTACAGCGACGCCCTGCCCCACATCTCTCGTGGGGCATGTGCCAGTCAGGGGCATGCACCAAGACACTGGGCTACTTGTAATTAGCTGTGGGAAAATGTCACACCAACTTAACTCCAGGAGTGAACAAACTACAGACTTAGAAAAAAATACAGCTAAGTACTTGTTTGATAGAAACTACTTTTACTTTTCAATCAAATGTTTGTTTCAAGAATTAAACCATCCGCAGTCCCTACTGACAGTGACTGGGACGAAGTTTCTACCCCAAAATAGCAGCTGCTCCCACTGGACGTGGGGTGGGAAGCTCAGTGCCTGTGGCCTGCCTGCTCTCTATTTTATTTTCTATGAGAAAGCTAAGCGTTCTGGGTGTCGTTGAGCTGGCCCATCTGGGAGCCATCAGGTGTCTCATCTATGATAATGTGACTTCAGAGATGACACATCTAACAGACTTTGAAAACATATATCCCTCCAACAGCCCTGTCCTGTGCCCCTGACATGCCAGGAGCAGGCTACTGACAGAGGACATCAAAAACATGGTGTTCTCAGCCGGGTATCTACATAGTGAGTTCAGGTCAGCTGGGACTACAGGGAGACCCTATCTCAAAAAGACAAAAAAAACAAAACAAAACAAAAAAAACCCTGGTGTTCTCAAGCAGCTCTCCACATTTCTGCAGGAACATCACCGAGCAGGAAGACACCTGCTTTCATTAATTCAGCAGGCTGCATGCCATCCTGCCCTCTAGAGACCTTGACCAGGACACAGCACAGATCAGCTCCACAAACTTATCCCCTTCCTTCAGGTCGAAGGATGCTGAACCAAGAGCCAGGCAAAGGGTTTCCTGCCCTCCAGTGCTCTCTACCTGCCTACAGGAGGTTTAAAAGCAAACCCAGGTAACCTGGTCAAGAACCATCCAGGGACACTGTGTGGAGCCCAATAGTCATGCTTTGTTCTGCAGTTCCTGGAACACAGGTGGTGGAAGGAGCACTCTGAGTCCAGGGGCCTCCCATCCTCCACCGCAGCTGAGGGATCCTGGTTACCTAGGCCTACCACTGCCATGAGAGATCCATTTCTCAGTCACCCCAAAGCCTGCCCCTCTGCATCTACCGTGGGAACCAAGGAGAAGCATTAATTGCTACAGCAGAATAAAGGCCACAAGGAAATGCACAGGGGGCATATTCACAAAACGTGAGCACTTGAGAGACCTCCTCAATACTTCTGGCAATAATGGAAATGCGGCCACATCATAGGAAGTCACTCGGAATAGAAAAATCACCTATCAGGGGCATGTAAGTGTTCCTGAGGTAAGTGCTGTGGCCCCTCTGTGGGCCCCTGAGCCCCAGGAGACATCAGAAGCCTATTTTTATCACTCCCAGGGAGTCTCAAGTACACACCTCCAAACAACCAGGAGAGTCAGAGCCAAGACCCGGGAGGGGAGCTGGCTCTGCATTAGCTAGCACTCAGAAGTCCCGAGGGACAGAAGCAGGGCAGGAGACGGCCGAGGCTCCTTGGTGCGGGCTCTCGGCCCTGACCAAGATGGAAGAAAGGGGTCAAAGAAGGAGTATAGGTGCCCACTCATGTCAGGGAGCCAGAACCCACCCAGACTTCACTGCCCGCCTGACAAGGACCTGATCCCAAGTCCTGACTCCAACACCTACGACTGCACTTCACCTCTGGAAGGCAGGCTGCCAGATGGAGAGCTACCGTGGGGCTGTTCTGCCATCTCCATCCTCCAGACTCTGCCTGCCCCCACACCGTGCTTCCTTCTCCCCCAGCCCCAAGCAACACACACACACACACACACACACACACACACACACACACACACCCCTCTGGCAACCAGTCTCCTTGGCTTGTTTTGAATGTGTTTCCAGGTCTTTCTGTCTTGCTTGGGAAACCCTGTGGGACCAGGAAGGCAAATCTTGCCTTTCACCCTGGAGTCTCTGGATCCTCATGGTTGGAGGGTCCTGGGGGGAGGGAGGCCGGGAGGGAGTATACCGCCTCTCGGTACTACACATCCCTTGGCTGGATATCGTTCCCTGGAGTGGGAACCCTGGCAGTGAGGCTCCCGAGGCCCAAACCCAGCACAGTGCCAGGGACAACGCAGGCACCCACTGTTTGCTGACTTGCTGATCACTTAGCACGTTTGTTTTAGGAATCCATTTTTAGAGCCACATCTCAAATGGCAAAAAGAAAGCACGGTGAATGAGTCATTGACTTCCTGTATGAGCAACTGGGTCCAGGAGACCAAAAGATTTCGTATTTGTGGCAGACGCCAAGAGAAGCGCCTGTGACTGAGCGTTCTGCAGCACAGGCCCTCAAGAGGTGGGGTGTGGGGGGCTACTATCTCACAGGCTTCTCACAGGAGGGTGGCAGAGCATGCTGGGACACCCGGCCCCAGGGCCACACCCTCCTGCCCCAGCCAGCAGCCCCCTGGCCCCAGTACTCTCATCCCACCCTCCCTCTAAGTAAGGACGAGGACAAGGGAGAGCTAGTGAGGGGAGGGAAAGGCAAGACCACAGGCTGGGCGGGTGGTCCCCTGAGGGACAGAGCTGTGCTTCAAAGAGCTAGCTTGTTTGCTGTGCCCCTTCGATCAGGAGCCAGGAGCCACAGACTGAAACGCAAACACAGAACAAGGGGCATGGCTCTAGGATGGGGAGGGAGGGAGGACTGGGTCTCTGGAGGGTCCTGTGAGCACCCTGCAGGACACCTTGGGATGCCCAGTTCCCCAGCACAGGTCTGATCCAAGCCCTCGTTGCTAGAGGGCCTAAGCCTCCCAACTCATGACTCTCGTGGCTGGCCAGACAATGCAACAAGAGTAGCCAGGTGGACCCAGACCCCCACGACATCCGTGAAGGTGTGCAGCAGGTAGGTGGGTAACAGCCCAGACTACATTGTTGATCATTCTGCTTTTAAGCACAATCATGTTTTGAGGCCCCTAGGGAAGGTCCTACAGGAATCCTGTGGCTCAGCACACAGGCATGTCACAGCTAGGTATTGCCCGGTATCTCTCACAGTGGAACCAAGAAGCGCTGCTGGATGTTGGAAGGCCATTTACTACTGGGGTAGCATTGTGAGCAGATGTGTCCTGGGTGAACTAGCTTCCTGAGAGACATAAGGTAGCGCTGGGTGGAAAGCCTAACTCACACCTCCCGGGGCAGTCAGGAAGTGGATGGGCACTGACAGCTCCTGTTCTAGGAGCCCTGCTGCGGGAAGGTGACCCCACCACAAACTACTCCCAGGGAAGGTCACACTGCCTTCCAGGAAACCCATGTACCCTCTCATTACAGGCATAGCAACAGAAACAGGAGCTTGCTGGGGCCGTCCTTCAGGTTGCTCCTCCTCGCCTGACCTGGTCCCTCCGCATAGTTCCTCGGGAACTTTTTCGACCAGCAATGTGAGCGGGGGCCACTGAGCAAAGGGGCCCTGTTTCCTACCATGGTGGGAGTTGGGACAAGGCCACAGCTGTCACGTCCGGTATTTTCTAAAACCTTGATGATCAAAAGTTCTTACAGGAGACAGAGAATGCCATGACTCAGAGGCAATCCGTATAAAACATGTCTTCTAGATACACAAGTGGCGGCTTGGCCCACAGTGCAGCCTCCAAGCTTCTGTAGGGACTACCACGGCCTGCCACCTCAGTACTTTTCAAACTCACTCTGGATAACACAGAGGCTGGGCTGACACTTGTGAGGGCATACACCACCATCTCCGTCCTGGTACACTTGTCCTGGAACCGACTGGGGTGCTCCTCCATAGCTGTGGGCTGCCCATCCCTCCACCCAGCACAATAATCACACCCTTCTAGACACACCTGCACACCCCAGCTAGGCTTCCGCCTCCCACCTACAGCTTCTCGGCTCCCCTGTAGTCTGTGGGTCTGGCTCTGGTACCTCACGGGCTCAGAACCCCACCACAGGCCTTCATTGCATGGCTGCTGCCTGGCACTCAGAGCATGCCACGGACACAGGGCAAGAACAGCAGGAATCAGGGGCCGTTGCGTGTGCTGGGTCCCCTCTAGTGCACGCTCACCCCAGGCCTGCTGCACT